TTTTCATTCGTATTAAAAGAAGAATGTGTATTTCGATTTTACATTCAGATCTAGTTAGCTATTGCATTTAATTTCCAAAGAAATACACAAAAATAGTTCGCACCTATTTGTGAATCTGGACAAACGTTCATTTGAAGCCATAAGATGTTTAATCAGACTTTAACCTTTGAATGAGTTTTGAACTGTAACGGTGCTATGTTTTCCAAAATCGCTCCGACTTAAGTGTGGTCGGACAACGAAATCGAGATACCGTCCGAAGTCAAGCTTCCGGCTGACCGCACCACGTCCAAACCGGTTCGATTCCATAGCAACCGCAAGTGATCTTGCGAAACGTTGTTGTTGTTGTTGTTTTTTGTTTTGTTTTTTTAACCGAGTCAGCCATACTCACATTTCTGTTCATATTCTTTTCTGCGTAAATTTTTGTTGACTACAGCACTTATTTTCATTTGAAAAGGTGCGTTTCGACTTGCAGCGAAGTAGAATTTTAAAGCAGTTTATGAGCGAATCGACGACACTAAATTCTGTCAGCAACGAAAACGTGTGTCGCGTTTGACATAACGTCAATGTTTGTATGGTCCTGTTTTTCAGCGTCGACACATGACGAATATGTGTTGTCGTAACTGTATATCACACAATCGTAAAGCGTCGTCCTTTCTTTGCCAGCAATTCATATGCGTCACTTTAGTCACACTTTAATAACGCCGGGGGAAAAGATCAGCATTGATAAACGTATATGTGAGTTAAATATATTTTTCAACATTAAGTCGACTTTTATTCTCTCCCGCCCCCACGAATGCAAATATAATGAGAATGAAGTGAGTTGTGAGAAGATTCGATCATTCGTCCAGATATTGTATGATTTGTTTGCACGCATAGCGATTAATTATCACGTACTTTGCTTGGTTGGTTTTACGTGTGAAGCGAAATCCACCTGTAATTTAGAATGCTGTACATATGTAAAAGAGATAAAATCTGCATGAAAGAGGCAATAACTAACATTCACTGTTTATTCATTAACAGCGCATATACTGTATGTCTGTGTGTGGCTCTTAGTGTCGGTGAAGTCAGTCAAATCTTTGACAGTTCCGAGATAAATGGAACGCGATATTACCTGGTAAATGTGTGCGTGTACATGGAAGTTGGTTAGTTTTCTGCTCTGCTGCCTTTGGATTAATGGTTCATGGAACCTGTCACCGTTTGCTTGATTATTTATGCAATAGCATTATTTCTCTTGTTACAACCAGCAATAACAGTACTGGTGTTGGCCAATCTTTTAGATAGTTTCATCATTTGATTGATGAATTGCCTTTTGGAGCCAAAGAATAGGAAAGCAATTTTGTCATTGCACATTATATGAAATAAACCACATCCATTTACATTACATTAAGTTTGAATGGCAAATAATGTGAACACATTTCAGCATGACAGTGAAAGATGAAATGACATAAGCAGGCAAACCAACAAAAGGCAAATAGTATAACCTCAGTAATAGGCTTGTGCAATCCAAGTGTGTATATTTTTTCCATACTCCCATTAGCACAGAAACAGTTTACCACACGACTTTTACCGAGCAAAAGCACCTAATTTATGTAAGAAAAATCTCACAGCACACCACCAAACAAAAACACCAAAATAACGATTATCTTATCTCAATGAACACATAATTAGCTGAAAGCCATGAGTTATTCTGTTGTATGCCAAATGAATGGCAACAGGTGAACACAATTTTGTCCTCCTTCTGCCATCTAATGTAGGAGCATTTAATTTCTCCTCCTTTCACCATTAATTAATTTGTAGTTTTCTGACAAATGAAACTGCATAATTCCAGGGTCCACGGCCTGTGGAATCAGTGGAAAGACAAACAAAAATTTTGCAAAAGTTATAAATGCATTTGAATCCCAGAATAATAATAATAATTTTGTTTGAAGAGAGAACAGTCACTTGCACATGCTTCTTTTTCATGTGAGGTAACTGTTTAATTCGCCTAATTAAATCGTCATGGCCTGATTAATTTCCATCTTTGAATGAAGATTAAGGCACGTACAAAGATTGAAATCTGATGAACAAATGTTTACAAGTAAAATGTAAAAAAACAAAACTGCAACGTAGGTAGGTAGAAGACAAAGTAGATAGGTAGAAGACAAAAATAAGGAAGGCGGAATATAAAACCCACCCACCACAAGAAATAACAGCGGAATAGTACTGGAATGCTTGACTATCAATATGGTGGAAGTTGCAGACTAAATAGACCAGCGAGTAGAGGGCAGGGGAGCATAAAAAGACACCAGTAATACAGATCAGGGCAGGGCCATATGTCAGAGCTGCAAGAGAAGCCTTGGAGCAAATTCAAGAATCAACACCTAATGAGTAAAATTGCTTCATGGTGCCACTTTTACTCAAATAACAGCATTGAGAAGATCTGCTGTACCGATCATTCATAACATTCTAGAAAGGGAAATTGCTGTGTCTCGTGTAGAATAGCTAGTTTGGAGATGGGAATTAGTCCTGATCAGTACAGGGTGTGAACTAGGGGTGTCCCGATCTGATTTTGATGTCGGTTCGATGTCAGCCCCCGCCCCCTAAAAAAACAACAGTATCGGATTATATTGGTCGACATCCAAAATCTCTGATATGACCACTCATACAAGCAGTCCTTTCCAGACTCCGCTCCTGCTCTTATACAGGGTGACCCAAAAAAAGCGGGCCCCAACTCTAATTAGGCCCCGTTTCTTAGTGTTTTGTTCGAATGAAATGAAACTTTGGCCATAACTAGTTTATTATATTCAAAACATCACATCAAAACACGATGGTCTTTGGCCTTTTTTTCTCCGTTCCACAGCATATGTTCTAGATGGCTTCCATTTAGCTCCGTGCATTTCTTGAGGCGTAGCACGAAGTTGTCCATGACGTTCTTACAGACTGAATTGGTAATGACTCTCATCTCCTCCCTGATGGCTTTCTTGAGTTCCGTGATGGTTCTGGGTTTCCCTGCGTAGACTCTGTCCTTAAGATAGCCCCAAAGAAAAAAATCTGGGGGGCTTAGGTCCGGGCTATGGGATGCCCACTCAAAATCAGTCTTGAGACTGATCACTCGGCCTCCGAAGTTCTCTTTCAGCCAATCTCGGGACAGGTTTGAGGTGTGAGAACTTGCTCCGTCTTGCTGGAACCAGAAGCGGTGAATAAATAAAGGAGATATCACATAAAGTGTACACGGGGCCCGTTTTTTTTTTCAATGAATAAGGTGAAATTTTCGGTATAAGGACTTCTAATAAAAAAAGCTTACTTTTTTCGGTTTTACTTCTTTTTCACATGGATTTCATTTCTATTGCAGATTAAAAAGGGTGCAAACCAGTTAAAATTCATAGGAGAATGTCAACTGTGTATGGTGCTGAATGTTTCAGCTGAAAAAATGTCTACAAGTGGGCTAAATTGTTGAAAGAAGGACAGCAGTGTGGAGGATGAAGACAGGCCTGAGAGGCCTGCAGAAATTAGGTCTCCTGAGGTGATCGAATCAGTCAATGAAAAATTCATGGCGTGAACAAGAGAGATCCTCTAGAGCAGGGGTGGGCAAACTTTTTGGCACGGGGGCCACATTGATTTCTAAATTTGACAGGTGGGCCGGGTCACCACAAGATACAGTACATATAAAAAAACGTATATGTTTACAGTCCATACCAAACATCAACAGAACAAAAGCATTAAATTATGACCATCCTTTTTTTTTATGAGAACAGTGAAACAACTATGGTATATGTCCTGTATGAATGTCCAAGTATGTGCACAACATACATGTGTGACAACACAAGCAACAAAGTGCAACAATATATTGCCCAAAAACTGCAGCATACAGTACAGGTTTAAGACAAAATACAACAAAGTTAGGACTATTTGCTACAAAATGAGACGAGTAAAAGACCTGGTGGCTTTCTTTCCACTCACTCACTGTCTCGAACTTGACCTCCTCTCGATCACCACACAAGACAGCGTTGCTCAGCTGATGTCATGCAACGAATTTTTAAACCGAGCCACGGGACACTCCGAAGTCTTCGATGCCCATAGCGCTATGGAACTCGCTTCCTCTTTTATTAGCAGTCCAGTTTGCGGAAAGTTTTTAGCACGACAACAGTCAAACCATTGCAGGAAACGTTTATTTACTCGACTATCCGTCGAGCCGCAAGCAATTCACTCTGAGCATGGAAACAGCCAGAATCGGACTGAGCAAGAATCGCTTCCTCGTTTTTCAAAGTCTCGTAGATTTGAGTCTTTCAGACTCCAAGCGTCTCCTGAATGTTTCGTACTTTGTAACCCGCTTCGTTTAATCAGATACACTTCACTTTCTCTTCTGCAGCCATTACTGTTCCTCTTCATTTGGATGCTATGATCTACAGGACATAAAAATTTTTGCTATTCCAGTAAAACTCACTGCAATAAAGAGTCACTTGCATGTCGCTGTTTTGGATCCAATGATAGAAAATAGCGGTGCGGACACACTTATTCCGTCATATCGAACGGGATTTGCTTGACTTGGTGCTACTGCGGGCTACCGTATCGTCTCCCCCTCCCTCCCTGTGCTCTGCAACTTCAAGTAACTGCGCCACCTGCCGTTTAAATGCCTGTCATTACAAGTCCAAATGAAATGAATGCAATCGTTGACATCAAACTTAATTGTGTACCAACCTCCGGCGGGCCGGATTAAAAAGACCAACGGGCCGGATCCGGCCCGCGTGCCGCAGTTTGCCCACCTCTGCTCTAGAAAATTCAACACTTGGAGACAAAGTCACAAGCAAGGTGAGAAATAATCCGACAAAGGTTGACACCTTGGCAGTCCTTAAATACATGGCAAATTGATATGAACATTGGCATCAGGTGTGCACACTGGAGGGAGGGCCCTCGTATGCCACCTGCTGAAGAGACAAAAACAGGATCACGACATCTGCAGCAGTATACCCGATTCAAATGATCAGATAATCAGCAAGGTCTGAAGAAGCTAGGTAATGATTTTGATCATTTGAATCAGTTATGTTGCAACAGTGAGACTTATAAAACATCCAGGGTACCGGGCCTTGAGGACTGGAATTGCCCATCCCTGTAATAGAATATGAACAGAACATGAATACCAAGAATAGTATGCATGCATATGCATTGAAAATAAATTATAAATTCCTCATTTCTCACCCAATTTAAGTTTACTTTGTTTTTTGTCAATGTCAAAGCATGTGCTATTAATACAGTGCATTTGAAAAAAACGAACCCCCCTTCCCCTGAAAAAAGAAATTCTCAGTGTGTGATTTTACGGCATTGTGTACAACCGTATGCAGCATGATAAGCAGGCATCCTTGTCCTGTCCGCAAACATGGAATGGGCCAACGCTTTGCCTCCAGTAGCTTGTGTTGTCATAGACACGTAACTGTGTTGTATCTAGCATTCACACACACACACACACACACACACACACACACACACACACACA